CTCATTTCTAATTGTTGTGTCCTGGGCCTCTTCCTGGCCACCAGGGGGCCAGGAACAATTAGAAACGAGCACAGTTAGAGATGAGCGCGATTAGAAATGAACGACGTGTATGTGGACCTCCAGAGGTTGCCCGGGCCGTCTAGTTATCGTCATCTTCGTTGTCCCATTCGTCTTCTTCCTCCTCCTTCTCAGGGTCCATTCCGATCCGATCGATCCGATGCGATACCGGCTCGATCCGATTCGATTCCGATATTCCGACGATCCGATACGGCCCGATCTTCGCATGGCGTTGTTGTGCGTCGTGGCGAAGTCGATTCAATTCGATCTCGAGATCGTGCCGATGCAGCCCGATCCGATACACGTCCCGATCTGATCCGATTTTCCGATTTGATGATGGCCGTTCATGCCTCACCCGCATCCTCCTCCTCCTCATCATCATCATCATCCTCCTGCTCGTTGCTTTTCTCCTCTTCCTCCTCATTATTTTTGTTCTTCCTCAGCGCTTTTTGCAGCATGGTTCGCGCAGCGGGCAAAAAGAATATCCAGGCGAAGGACCCAACCACATGCAGGTGTGAGTACCGCAGTTGTGAGTCTCGTCTTCGGTGGAGCACCCTTGTAGGGCCACGAAACGTGTGAGGAATGTGCCAAAATGGACGCGGCGGTACCACGCCGGCGCTGCCAGTTGGGCCTTCGGTGGAACACCCCATGAGGCCACGAAACGTGTGAGGAATGTGCCGAAATTGGCGCGGTGCCGCTATGCGGACGCTGTCATTTGGGCCTTCGCTGGAGCTCCCTCTGGGGCCACGACACGTGTGAGGAGTGAGCAGACATGGGTGCGCTGCCGCCATACGGGCGCTGCCATGTGGGCCTCCGGTAGAGCTCCATGTAGGGCACGAAGCGTGTGAGGGCTGCACCGACCTGGTAAAGCGGTGCCGCCATGCGAGCGCTGCCATGTGGGCCGTCGGTGGAGCTCCCCCCCTTACGGGGCCACGAAACGTGTGAGGGACGAGTGGTAGGTGCGGTGCCGCCAAGCGGGCGCTGTCATTCGGGCCTCCAGCAGAGCTCTTCTGGGGCCACAGAACGTGCGAGGGGTGTGCCGGGATGGGCGCGGTGCCGCCATACGGGCGCTGCCAACTGGGCCTTCGGAGGAGCTCCCTTTGGCACGAAACGTTTGAGGGGTGTGCCGAAACAGAGATATGCGGAGGGCAGAGGCAGGGACGGGAGGAAGGGAAGGAGGGTAGCGGATTGGAAGGAAAGAGAGAAGGGAGGAAGGAGACGCGGGGCGCTGCTAATTCAAAACGAGGACCCAACACCACAGGATCGTTGGGAGAAACCTTTTCATGTTACTCCTTCTCGCTGCTCATCCTTATCATCCTCCCCCGATCGCTGCTTCTTATGGGTTATTCCTGCTTGTCTGAGAACCAGAGGTGTCGCTAGGGCGACGGGGCGTGTCGCCTGAGATATCTTGACCATGTCTGATCCTGAAGCTTGAAAATCCCAGCTGTTGACACGATGGAGGGCAGGTCATTTTCATGAATGAGGCCCTCGCTCCAACGCCGCGCACAAGTTTGCTGAAAGCTTGGCAATAGTGGCAGCGCCGATCCGAGCAATCCGCGCGGACCTCCGAAAGGTTATGCTCATGCCGGCTTCGTCCAGCATTCGACCAGGACCCAGCGGAGGCGACGGTGCCCTCCCAGAGGACGCGGGACGAGGGCGGGTGTCGAGAAGCGAAGGGGCCCAGGCTTCGAGCGAATCGACGCCTCCAGCCCCGGCGCCTTCCCCCACAGGTGTTGTGCCGTCATGCCGTGTCTGTTTCTTCCTCGAGAGGCGCCTGGCCAGCTCCCGTGCGCACGGCGCGGAGCGAGCGAGCGAGAGACATCATGTGGCCCAGGAAAGTCCCAACTCTTCGCGTATCCCCACCAGCCATGCCTTGCGCATGAGGTCGCTGGGAACCCCCCCCGACCCTGGACACAGGTCTGCGGGCCTTTCTTTCGTCGTGGCCACCCTGGACGTGCCAGAGGTATGCCTGCTGGCCTCTTCCTATTTAGGGGATTCTCCAGGGTTCCCCGGCCCGCGGCTCGCCTTGAGTCTGCCGCCTCTTTCCGCCCGGGGTAGACGGACACCCGGTCCTCCCCCGCTTTCCCCAAGCCCTGCTCATGTCCCCTGGCGTTGGCTTTCGCCGACTCTTCGCCGGAGTTCGGCTTCCTCTCACTGACTCCTCGCACCATCTGGTGACCGGCGATCCAGAATTCCCGTCGAGCGCCTGCACGTCCTGTTCTTCCCTTTCTGGGCCGAGGATTTCAATGACTCCGTGGTGCTGCACGTCGCCCAGGTGTTCGTCCTGGTGCTGGCGCTCTTCTGAGCGGCAGTGAGGTTCGCCCGCTGCTTGTCTCTTCCGCCGCCTTTTCTCACGTTGTCTCTCCTCTTCCCCTCTCTTGCGCACTCCAGGCCGTAGCTAGCGCGCTATGATTTTGACGGCGTGCGGCACCTCCGTATCCCTTGCGATCCAAAAAATATCCCCACCAGCTGGAGCGTTCGGCCGTTGCCTCTGCGCTTCGCCCCTTGACGCCGCCCGATCTTCTCGCCACGGTCGCGATCAAAAAGTACCCCCACCAGCCCATCCAGAAACGATGCCCAGGGGCGCTGCCCTGATCGGGGGAGGGCGGCATGACTTGAAGAGTTCGGAGAGCCTCCGTGGGCCAGAGGTTTCTTGGATGCTTCCCTGAGTCTCTTGGGATGCCTCTCGGGGTCTTTCGGCTTCTTGGGACGGTTTGGGGGCCTCCCAGCGGTTCTGGAAGGTCCATTTGAGCGTTTTGGGGCCTCTTGGAGGCCTTTTGGGATGTCTTGGGGGCCTCTTGGCGGTCTTCAGAGCCTTTTGGAGCGTCTTGGGGGCCCCCTTTGCGTTTTTGGGGGGCCGCTTGGGCCCTTTTCGGGACCGCTTGAGGGCCTCTTCGGGTGTTTGTCGGGCTCTTTTTGGAGATGTTCGGGCCGTCTTGGGGCCATCTCAGAGGCTATCGGTCAAAGTAGGGGCCGTATTCGCTGCACCATGAGGCCATGTTTGGGCCTCTTGGGGCCATCTCGGCCGTCTTGGAGGCATCCTGGAGGCCGTCTTGAGACATCTCGGCCGTCGGATTGGCCATCGTGAGCCGTTTTGGAGAATGTGTTGCGCACGTTGGGGTGTTTTCCGGTTTTTTCCGGGTGGCCAGCGCGTCGGCTTGAAGCCCAAGGGAGAGTTCTTTTGAACAAAAGAACCACAGCCAAGCCGTATAGGATCCAGGACGCCAGGCACCGCTGTGATAAATCGATCGAAGACGCCTGCGGCAAATCACCGCCGCCCCTTGCCTGTTGGAATCGCCCATGTGGCCAAGCGTTATGGCAAGAGCTCCGTCAAGCTATCGGACCATGTATTCTCCAAGCCGTTGTGGAAACGATGGCGGGGAAGAAAGAGGAGGAGGAAAAAAAGGGGGCATCTTGGGAGCCTCTTGGGGCACTCTTGGGGCCTCCTGGGAGCTTCCTGGAGGCCTCTTGGAGGTATCTTGAGGGCCTCCTTGGGCCTCTTGGGGGCCTTGGGGGGGTTATCCGAGGCCCCTTTGGCAATCTTAGGGCAAGCCTGGCCCGTCTGACGCCGTCGGAAGCCGTCTTGGGGGCCTCTTTGAGCCGACTTGGGGCACTTTTGGGGTGCTCCAGGGCCGTCTTGGAGGCCATCTTGGGCGTCTTGGAGGCCTCATGAAGGCCAGTTGGGGCCGTCTCGGGGACCTCTTGGGCCGCTCTGGGGCCACTTGGGAGGCCTCTTGGGCGATCTGTGGGGGCTCTCGGGCCATCTAGGGCCTTCTGAGGGCCCCTCGGAGCCGGGTCGACATGTCCGCTGGGGTTCCCCATCTAGGCCCCCTCTTGGGGCCGTCTTTGGGCCCTCTTGGGCCGTTTTGGGTGCCTCTTGGGCTGTCTTGGAGCCCGCTGGCCGTCTTGGAGCCGTCTTGGGGGCCTAGTGGGCCGTCGTGGAGCGTCGGGAAGCCGAAGAGGCGAGAACGCCATAATCTGTCAAGCACCTGAAGAAATCAATGACTTTTGCCCTTTGGGGCCCTCTCGGGAGGCCTTTATGGGCGTCTTGGGCCGTCTTAGGGCCATCTTGTGCGTCTTGGACAAATCGTTCGGCGACTCAGGGCCCTCTTGGGAGCCTCTTAGAGCCTTTTTCGGCCCGAAAAGGTCACGCGAAAAGACGCCACCGGGCCCCGACGAGGCGCGCCAAGTCCGGGCATGTTTGGCAATATGAGGCCCGGGCCCTTGAAAAGATTTCTCAGGAGTCAGGATTGTGGCTTAGAGGATTGGGCCTGGGACCTGACAACACGCCCACTCCATGCCTAGGGGCACGGTGGCGGATAAGGAAAAAGGATGGATGAGGAGAGGGAGAAGGAGAAGGAGAAGCAGAAGCAGAAGCAAAAGCAGGAGGAAGAGGAGGAAGAGGGGGAAGAGGAGGAGGAGGAGGAGGAGGAGGAGGAGGAGGAGGAGGAGGAGGAGAAGGAGGAGGAGGAGGAGGAGGAGGAGTCGAAGAAGGAGGAAGATGGAGGATTGAGGAGCTGGAGAAAGAGGAGGCTGAGGAGGCGGCGGACGAAGAGGAGGAGAAGGATGGGGGTGGGGACCCACTCGGGTGCCCCCAGGCCATACGGAGGGAGGATGATGAGGACGAGGAGAGGAGGAGGAGGTGGAGGAGGAAAGCAGGATGGATGAGGAGGAGGAGGAGGATGGAGGATGGAGAATGAGGATAGGGAGGATACGGAGGATACCGAGGCTAGGGAGGAGGAGGAGGAGGAGGAGGAGGAGGGAGAAGGAGGAGGATGGAGAAGGAGGAGGAGGGAGGAGGGGGAGGGAGGAGGGAGGAGGGAGGAGGAGGGAGGAGGAGGAGGAGGAGGAGGAGGAGGAGGAGGGGGAGGCGAGGAGGAGGAGGAGGAGGGAGGAGGAGGAGGAGGAGGAGGAGGAGGAGGAGGGGGAAGGCGCGCGGCGAGGTGGCCCCCTCCATGCTGCCGTTGGCGGCCGCCGCCCGCGGCGGCGCGGCGAGCGCGGCTGGCGGCCCCGCGCCGGGCGCCGCGCCGCCGCTGCCGTTCGTCGTGACGGGCACGCGGCTCTCGCCAGAGCCGTCCAGGCCGCGCCTCGCTCGTCGGCGTCGGCGGCGGCGTCGTGTGCGCCGTCAGCGGTGTCGGCGACGTCATCGGCGTCTCCGTTGTCTTCGGCTTCGTCGTCGGCGTCTGCGCGCTCCGTCGCCAAATCGAGCGGCACCGGCGCCTTGTTTCCGGGGGCTCCTACCTCGATCCGTATAGATCTGACGCCCACGCGTCAGATACACGGATCCCATGCTAGCGTGTTCCCGATACAGGCTCTCGCCAGAGCCGTCCACGCCGCGCGTCGTCGTCCGCTTCTCCGTTGTGTTCGGCTTCGTCATCGGCGTCGGCACGCGGCTCTCGCGGGAGCCATGCGGGCCTCGGCCAATCGATCGTTGAGCGAGGTTCGAGGATCGAGGGCGTTTGTTGTGTCGTGCGTTTTCGTGGGTGCAGGCCCAAGACGGGCCAAGAAGTATCTCGCATCATCCGTCGCTCGTCCAGGCCGCCCGTCGCTCCTCGTCGGCGGCGTCGTTCGCGTAGTCGTCGTCGGTGTCGTCGGCGCCGCCGTCGTCGCCGTCGTCGGCGTCAGGCCGCGCATCCGATCGATCGGATCAAGGATCGGAGCGCCGAAGGGGGGAGAGGGGGGAGGAGTTTTTCGTTGGCTCCCGGGGGTTGTCTCGCCTCGGGATACTTTCTATCAGCTGCGCCTCGTCAAGAGCTTTCCAGGGGTGCCCAGATCGTCCCGAACGGCCGCCGGATCCGAAAACCACAAGGCATCGAAGATGAGGGTGACAACTAGGGAGGGGGAGATCTCACTGCCAGGGCCGCGAAATCTTCCAGACCCCTCCTTCTTTCGAGACGTCTCTTGGTTTCCCCCGCGTCCGCGCTCACGCCCCAGGTGATGATGCGCTGACATCTCTCTTCCTGCCCCCCCTCCTCGGCACCCGAGTTCGAGGTCTTCTGTCGAGGCAACGAGACCATGGATTGAGGCGCGTGGATGAGCAACTGGCAGCGTTTCCATACCGAATCGGCGCGGTCCGTCGCCACACCAGGCGGCATTGGCAACATTTTTCGGAAGGGGCCCTCCCTCGATCCGCATAGATCTGACGCCCACGCGTCAGATCCACGGATCCCTAGTGCATGCTAGCGTGTTCCCGATTCTGATTCGCGCCAGAGCCGTCCAAGCCGCGCGTCGCTCGTCCGCGTTTGCGGCTGCGTCGGCGTAGTCGTCGGCGTCTCCGTTGCTTTCGGCTTCATCATCGGCGTCTCAGTTGTGTTCGGCTTCCTTGTCGGCGTCGACGCGTGGCTCTCTTCGGAGCCATCCAGACCTCGATCGATCGCTCGAGGATCGAGGTTCGAAGATCGAGGGCGTTTTTTGTTTGTCTCTTTCGTGTTTGCAGTCTTCGGGCGAAAGCACGGCTCTCGCGTCGCCCGCCGTTGTCGTCGGCGTCGTCGGCGCCACCGTCCTCGGCCGTGATCGTCGTCGGCGTCGGCGTCGTAATCGACGTCACCGCCGTGGTTGCGCGGGGCTCGTGATGCGCGGCGCGATGGCACGGCTGCAGGCTCCGCCGGCTCGAGCTGCATGTTCGAGTCTGCGGAGGGCCCCGACGGCTGAGCCTCGGCCGCTTCAAGACGCAGGCGTTCGGACTCGGGTCGTCGATCGTGGCGGGCTGCTCGGAGGCCACCACTCTGCTGCGCGTGATGATGCTCGCGCCCACGGACGCCCACCATGAGACTATGTGTTTTAGGGTCGGGCGATAACCCGGCTTATCGGGCTTGCCCCACCTCCCCCCCCCAGGATAACCTATTGCCGGTTGTGCAGGTCCGCGGGTGGGGGGGCGCGGGCATATGCAGGGTTGCCCACAGCGCAGCGCGAGGGTTAGGTTATCGGCCGGCCCCTTCCTCCCCCTCCTGGATAACCCGGGTTATCGCCGATTCCAAAAAAACGGTCTCCATCAGGTCCTTCATTTCGTGGACGGCGTGGCGATCGCGGTGCACGATTGGTTGGGGGACGTCGAGCACGACGGCTTCGGCGCCACCCGGGCGGCTTGCCAGCTCCTGGAGGACGAGGGCTTCCAGCTCTCCCTCACCAAGCAAGCAGGCGTCGCCTGCAACGCCGAGGCGGGCAAGCGGCTGGTGGGGCGCCTGAGGCGCTGGCAGCTCCAGTTGCACGCGACCGTCAGCCAATTCGGGCATCGACTTCGGGTTGTCCCCCTCGCGCCCCTTGGGCGGTGCTTCGCGCTCGGCCCCCCAAGCTGGGCGAGAAGGCCTCCAGCCACGTGGCGCTGCGGCGGGCGGGCGCCCGCCTGGGCGCGACCTTCCGCACGCGCGGGCCTGCGACCATCTTGCACGGCGCCCTTCGCGGGGGCGTGCCGACCGCGGCCTGTCCGCCTAGGCGCGGCGACCGTCCGCGCCGTGGCCGTGCGCGGCGAGGCGGACAGGCGGCCGCGCCCGCTGCAGATCGCCCTCGGCGAGGGCGGCAGCTGGCGCTGGGACCCGGCGCGCACCCGGCGCGCGCCGCCAGGAGCCGGCGTGGGCGCGGGCTGTCTGCCTCGGCTTCTGGAAGGCCGCCGGCAGCTTCGGCACGGTCTTCCTGGACAGCGAGCCCGCGGCGTGGGGCCACGTCACGGGGCTCGCGGGCGCGGGGAAGCTCGCGCTCGCGCGCATCGTCCGGGCGGCTGTGGCGTGGCATTCCTGGCGGACCGACGCGGACCTGGAGGAAGCGCTGGCCGTCATGAGAGGGCGGGGCCAGGTGGACTTACTGGAGTCCCTGATCGCAGGCGGGCTCCCGACCCAGGCCGATCTTTACGTGGAGCGCAAACAGCTAGACCCGTTACGTCGCTGGTGCCGAGGGGGCATGGGCACCGCGCGCCACCGCCGCTGCACCGGCGCCGCCACCGCCCAGGTGGCACGGGTCATGGGGCACACACGCGTGCGGCGGTTTGGCGCCGCTGCGCCGCCCTCGGTTTCCTCCGCGGGCTGGTCCATCCGGGCTTTGACGAGGCCCCCGCCGAGATCTGCTTGTGGGCAAGCACGGCGCGGCGTGAGGGTTTCAGCGGCTTTGTCTGCGTCGACGGCTCGGCCTCCTGCCTCAAGGTGCCTGTCATTACCGGGGGATTCGCCGCACTCCATCGCCCAGGGGGGTTGGAATGCCGCCCCTGCGCGAATCGTTCCCACCAAAGTTCCCCCGAAAGGGGGAGCTTAGGCGGGGGCTTTCCTCGTAATGAGGCAGGTTGGGGAGCCACCATGGTCACGGACGACGGCGCCATTCGTGGCGGCATGTACGGCATGTTCGCCGAGTTTGGGGCCACCCTGCGCGCGTTGGAGGACGAGGCGGCCAGGCCCGACGTCTCGTCGGGCTGCCTCGGCCCGGTCTCGGACTTCGCCTGTGGCCAGGCGTAGTGTTAAGTCGGGCCTGTCCCTTTACAGGGGGAATATTCAAAAAATAGTATAAAATTGTCTGGGGACGTTGTTTTGACCATTTTGGAGCATTCTTGGCGCATTTGTGGGATATGTTTTTTTTTCGTCCAAAAACCGCCTGTAGGGGGACATGCCCGAACTAAGCGTAGTGCTGCTCGGCGGGCGTCGTTCAAGTACGCCGACTTGTGGGGCAAAGTCTGGGGCCACGTCGAGGACTTCGGCGAGACCAATTTTTCTGTTGAGCTGGACCCGAGCCTACACCAGCTCGGCGAAGGCAGAGAGCGCCGGCGCCCCCCCCCCGGGGCCTGGCACATCGGCAACAGAGGAGCCGATGCCTAGGCCAAGCTCTGAGCCCGCCTGCACCCGCAACGCGGCCTCGGCGAGCTCGAGGCGCGAGCGGGCGCGGCGACAGATGCTGCGCTCGCTCTCACGGGGCACCACGGCGCGGTCCTCAAGATGGTGGCGGAGGGCTGGCCCGATCGCGTCCCTCTGGCTCGCCCGGAAGGCCCACTCAGCTTGGTCGAGCCTGGGGCTGTAGCGTCTTCCGGGTTCGGGAGGCCTCGTGGGCTCGCGTCGTGGCCACTCCCACGGGGTCGGGGTCGTTCGGGGGCGGTCTGAGGTGGGTCGGGAGTTGGCTGGGCTGGGCTTGGTCACTGGGAGCGGTGAGGCGCCGAACGTTTTCGATGTGGCACGTGGGGCCTACGGTCGAAGCCAGACCCACCTGCTGGCGCAGGAGTGCCCCGCTCCCGCCAGGCGTGAACGGGCGGCGGCTTGATTAGCTCGGTCTGCCCTCAGCCGGATCCGGGCGGGGCGCGAACCATAGTCATGGGTCTGCTGGGGTCAGCCTTCCCGTTGACCCGCACAACCCGTGCAGATGTTGATTGTTCCCGAGACCTGGCTCTCATGTTTCGGGAAGGCTCATAGGTAGGCAGCCGAGTTTTGCTGAGCGAAATTCGTTTCATTAGGACACAGGGGACAAAGAGGAGGGAGGAGGGGGAGGAGCCAGTTCGATGCCCAAGGAGCAGTCTAGGCTAGCCGTGTTTGGGATGTTAGGAGGGTTCGGCATCGGCGAATCCTTCCAATGCGCACAGCGTAGCATAGGGAGGAGTCGGAGGAGGAGGAGGAGGAGGAGGAGAAGGAGGAGTAGAAACACCAGCGGGCTCATGGCCTTCTCCCCCGCCATTAATCCAGCTTTCTGCTGCTGCTGCTGCTGCTGCTGCTGCTGCTGCTGCTGCTGCTGCTGCTGCTGCTGCTGCTGCTGGTCATCCTTCTGCCCCTCCACCCTTGCCTCCCCCACCCCTCACCCCTCCTCCTCCTCCCCTTGGACTCTCTCCTCGTCAGGCGTTTCCTGCTCCTCGCCGCCGCGGACAGGAGCAGGAGAGCAGGAGCTGAGGGGAGCCAGCGGGGAAGGGTAGAGCGGGGGGGCTGTCGTCGTGGGAGGGGGGGCGCGGTCGAGGGGGGAGAAGGAAGAGGATGGAGAAGGGAGGAGGAGGAGGAGGAGGAGGAGGAGGAGGAGGAGGAGGAGGAGGAGGAGGAGAAGGACTTGGTCGGATCGCACGGCAGTGGACGAGAGAGGCGGAAAAGACGATGAGAAGAACGGGAAGAGTGAGGAGCGTCGCGTAGGAGGCAGACGATGACAGGCACGAGGATTAAGAGAGGGAACGGTGAAGGAAGAGCATCGGCAGGAGGAGGAGGAGGAGGACAAGTGAGGGCATGCACGATTTGCGCAAGACGCAAGTGAGGGGGCGGGCGCGGAGTGGGTCGCGGGTGGGTCGCGGGCGGGGTCGCGAAAAGGAACGACGACAACAACGCAACGCAACGCGCACAGCAGAACCCCATTGGTACCCAGGGACAGTGAATGACCGTTCGGCCCCCTCACTTTGACTTTGGCCCATAAGAACAAAAAAGAGAGGGAAACATTAAGATAAACAAGTATAAAGTATGTATACACACATATATATATATATATACACATCTACGTATATGTATATATCTATGTAAATAGATACAAACTGCTAGGTAGCACGCACAGTGCGCACCCAAATTGTACAAGGACCACGTGAGTAGAGGAGGATTCCTTCGACATGGTGTTGGGCGAGGCGGCTAGTAAGTTTGCGATTATGGTTCCCTTCATCGTGCTGACTTTGTGGTTGGAAGCCTGACTTTGTGACATCACATGCTGTCATATGGTGGAGGAGGAGGGACGGGACACGATGAGGGGCAGGAGGGTTCGTGCAAGAAACAGAAGAGGGGAAGTAGCCAGTTTTTTGGCCGCTGGGGATACTTTCCAGGGGGCCCCAGGACCGTCCAAGAACGTCGCAGGATGGAAAAGCAGTCCCCAGGAGAGGGCCCAGACCTGTCGGGAGCCACGCTGCAGACAAGACGAGGTCGGATATCTGGGCAGGTGGCCCACCACGTGCTCGACGTGGTGCCCTCATCAGTCTCCCTTCGCCCTTCCCCCCATCTGCCCCCCCCCCCGCTTTGGGGCTGTTCGTGGGACCTGGGCTGCTTGGGAGGAGGGCCATGTTGATTTAGCACGGGGAGCCGCATCGAATCGCACAGCACCAAGGGGCTGGACATGGGCCGGAGCGAAGATCAGGAGGAACAAAAACACACAGACAGGATGAATCGTCGATTGCCAGGAGAATATGCGAAAATATGGGAAGTGGGGAAGAAGACTGAGACCCAGAAAATATGCGAAAATATTGGGAATTCTGGGATTTGTGTGTATTTATTTGTGTGGTGTGGGCCCCTTCAGAAGAGGGGGGCAGGCGACCCATAACGGGGCCCCCCGCTTTCCGCCAGCGAGGGCAGGGGAACAGAGTGGTGCACTTGGTCGTTCTTCTTCGAGAAGGGCTTCCTCACAAAAAACTGCACGAGGCCCCGCGATGGACTTGCAAGGGGCCTTCTCGTCATTGCCGCCGTCCTCTTCCCCCTCTTCTCCTATCCTCATCCCCCCTCCTCGCCCACCTCTTTTTCCTCTTCGTCCTCATCTTTGCTCTACTGTGCTCTTCAGCCCGCAACTCATTCCCGCCAGCGGACAATGGAAAGACTCGGCCATGCTAGACTCGCCCAGCCGAACTCGGCCAGGCTGAACTCAGCCTGGCCGAATTCAGGTTGAACAAGCCCAGCCTGGCGGAGTTCAGCCTAACCGAGTTCAGCCCCCGACGTGATGATTTGTTCACAACGTTGACCACAGGAGATCCAGATCCATTCCTGGGACCGGCTTTCATCCTGAGTCGTTTCTTCACGATCCCCGAGACGCGGTGAGGGCCCCCAGAAACCGAAAATGGCCAGAGGCTGTCGTCGTTGTTTTTCTCGCGATTCGCGGGGATCCGGGTCACTGCCTCCCCGCCCTGGTGGCACCCCCGGCCCACCGCTGCAGGCCGCCCGCGCCGTCACCAGGGCTCCCGCGGCCCAGGCGGGCGGGCTTCTTACACCGCTGCTCGCGCCGGCGGGGGCGGAGGGAGGGAGACGAGAGAAGGACCCGGCCGGGCGAGACTCGGCCAGGCGGAATTCGGCCAGCTGGGGCGGTTCAAAGGTGGGGCCCAGAGGGATGGGGCCCCAAGGTTCAGTCGGGCCTGTCCCTCGACGGGGGGAATGTTCAGAAATAGTCAAAAAATTGTCTGGGGACGATTTTGGATTTTTTTTACCATTTTGGGACATGTTTTGGGTATTTTTGATTTTTCGCTCAATTTCCCCCTGTATGGGAGACAGGCCCCACCTAATAAACCCTAAGGATAGAAACCGAGACCTGCCCGCGTCGTCAAGAAAGTCACGGCGCATAGTTTCTGGCCGTTTTGTTCGGTCTTTGGGGGCCCCTGCCTGGCACCGGGACCATCGAAGAACGACTCGGTAGACCGGCCCTGGGGAATGGGTTTGGATGTTTGGGTAATCCACACGCCTTGATAAGTGAAGCTTTGAGCCCCTTTGTGGCGGAAGGCCTCCGTGGGAACCCATGACGAGCCCCTCTGTGACAGAAGGGCTCGTTTTCTCCAGCTCACTCCTCATGTATGCATTGTCCACTGTCGATGTGTCCCTGACAGGTTGTTCTGGTTTACCCCGTACGGAAGGATCAGGACATCGGATGCCTGGAAAAGCGGGTCCCCGAGAGATGCGGCCCTGAGGACTGCAGGGGATCCCAAGCCGAGGTCGCACGGTTTGAGGCCCCCCCCGCCCGGTTGCCGCGTCCCTCTCAGGCCCATTCTCTGAGCCGCCGAGTGCAGGGGGTCGGCGTGCGCACCCCGCCACGCCGGCCAGCTCCAGAGTCAGGGGCAACTTTGGAGGGGGATGGAGCTGGACATCGCAGTCCTCCTCCTCCTCCTCCTCCTTCTCCTCCTCCTCCTCCTCCTCCTCCCCGAAGGAGGGGAGCAGCCGGGTGAGTGTTCGCTCCTCCCTGGGCGACTCGACCTCTGGAGGGGATGGAGGCACCCGAAATCGTCAGTTCTGGCGAGACGCCAGCCTTCGCAGGAATTCTAGGACGATGGAGACTCCACGGCAGAGGAGCTATGACGAAACCCTTAGGAACTTCAGGCATGAGAGCATCGAGACTTCTTACGAAAGTCCAGGCTTGAGGGCATGATTTGTCATGCAAGTTGTTCGTGGTTGCAACATGGACCGTAGGCTCAAAGTGCAATGCATCAACCCCCAATGGCCCACTCATTGCTGGTAGGGACCCGATAGCCCAAGCCGCCCAGGAGCGTGCGGGTTCGCTACCGGGGGGGGCTGTCGCCGACCCATCGGCGACGCATCGCCGATTCCAGCTCGACGCCTTCCCCCCTTACGTTCCCCCTCACAAAGGTGGAGTGTGGGGGGTGGGTCCTCGTGCAGGATCCTCTTGGGAGGTCTTTGGGCCATCTTGGGGGCCTCTTGGGCCATCCTGGGGAGCTTGGGCCGTCTGGGGTCCCTCTTGGAGGCCTCTTGGGGCCGTCTTGGGGGCCCCTCGGAAGCATCTTGGGGGCATCGTGGGGCCCTTTTGGGGGCCTCTCGGCCTCGCCGCCCCCGCGGGCGGTGGGCGGGAGGCCCCTCGAAGCACGGCGAGCGGCATCCAGCCGAGACCCGCGGGGAGCGGCATCTGGGGAGCCGGGGGTCGGCCGCGAGAGCCGGGGAGCCGGGGGTCGGCCGTTGTCCTCGTGGCCTCGAGAAAGGCGGCCGCACGGAGCCCCGTCCTCCACTCCTTTTCCTTCTGAGTAGTCCTCCCTGTCGCACTCCGAGGCCAGTCGGAAGGGCTGGCCGGGCGTTTCGCCTCACATTTCCTGACCCCTTATGAGCCTGAAGCTTAAAACTTGTCGCTTTCAAAATGAAGCTCTCGCTTTAGCGCCGCGCACATTGGCTTCAGCATTTGTAAGAGCTTTACGGATTGAGGACAGGCCGTTTTCAAAATGTGGTTTCCGCCTTAGCGCCGCGCACATTCGTTTCCAAAGAATTGTAAGAGGTTCGCTGATTCTCATGGTTGACATTGCAGAAATCGCGTTTGGGAACGATTCTGGATTGTCAGGGCGCAACAGTTTCGTTGATTCGCGATTTCGAAGTCCCACGAACAGCGTTCTGCCACAGTTCAGGATCGTCAAGACGCAACAGTCAAGCTGACTCGTGGCGTTGAAGTCCTGAGAACGGTTTTTTGGCACGCGTCAAGATTTTCACACGGTTGTCCCCCAACGGCGCAACTCTTTCATTGGAAATGAATTTTTGGTAAGGGCATATGAGGAGGGAGTTTGGAGGGAGGGTGTACTCCAACCTCGTTGATGAATTTTGGGTTTACCCTGGTCCTTCTCCTCCTCCTCCCCCTCCTCCTCCTCCTCCGCCGGGCTCTCCTCCTCGTCCGCCTCGCTCTCCTCCTCGTCCTCCTCCTCCTCCTCCTCCTCCTCCTCCATCTTCTCCTCCTCCTTCTCCTCCTCCTCCTCCTCGCCCCCTCCCGCATCGAGCGCGTTCTTCGTAAGATCGTGAACGCGCGCTCGGCGCGTCGCGCCTTGGAGTCGGCTGGGTGTCTGAGGCGACCCAGCACCAGTTCCAGTCAGCAGGAAGTGGGGCGCCAGGTTCTGTGTGTGAAGTCCGCTCACATTTCCATTAGATCCTCACATACCGCATCTGTATCGGCTCAGGTATTGGCATAATACTGACAGAGCACTGCTCCCCGCGCAGCACCCTGGAAAAAGGAGTCCTACTCCCCGCCTTTCCCTACGGACCCCGTATAAGAACGGCCCCTCGGCCGTTTCCCTATACACACAGGTTCGAGGATCTGGGTTCAAGAAGATGGTTTGCCTTTTTCGGCCTCTTTGGGCCGCTATCGGGCTCCAGGACCGTCAAAAAGATTCAGGTGGAAAAACTACACCAGATGGACCCCGGGAGCCGGCTGCGAGCGGCTTTTCTTTGGGCTCAAACAACTCAAGCCCTCCGGCCGCTTCTAATTCGCGCAGCTGGTTCTGGGCCACCACGCTTCGGCGCGACACGCCAATTTCGTCCTTGCTCCCTAGCGTCAACGTCACGAGCTTTTCCCAGCCCCCCGTCCAGCGAAGCGGAGCGACACGCCATCAGTCCGCAGGGCATGGCGTGTCGCAGGGTCCGCCGACTCGACACGCTAAGCAAAATTCCCTGACCGTATGTCCATGATCTGGACGGGGCCGTACAGCGCGGGCGGCTGTCCCGGAGGATTGCCCAGATTGCATCGAAGGTGCCAAGACGAGCTGATTCGGGGTAGGTGGGCGATGCGAGCAAGCCGAAAAAGAATGGCTCGACTTGTTTTACATTGGTGTGCCCCTGTGGGAATAGACGGCGCACGGGGATGGCACAGAGGTGGGCATTACGTGTATGTTTTACGTATGCGCATTGACCCTCAAGCATTATTTCACGGTCAGATGAATACCGCCAAACATCGTGACATACCGTTTCCTACAGAGGCAAGGGTAGTCGAAATGAATCGGGCCACATCACTGGCGCATCGACGTCTATTTCGCATGCAGGACACATGGGGTTGCGCGCTTCCGCAATGTACATTAGACGGCTGGGCATCAAAGTGGCACATTCTCATGACAAATTGATCGAGATGAGATGTTGATTCAACCTAGCAGCTGTGATGACATGAGCAGTGGCTGGACACTGCACCGAGCGCAGTCATGATTTCACGGACAGTCCGCCACTCTTGCCACGTAACGTAGGTTGGGATCACCTCCTCTACGAATTGCGCGTTTGATCTTTACGCGTCTGAGCGCCTCATTTCCACATTACGCATTCGTTGAACAGTAGAAAATTCTAGACGCTTCGCGTATCCCCACCAGCCCGTCCAGAAACGACGCCCAGGCGAGTAGAGGGTCGTCCTGAGGGGCTTTTCGGCGTCTTGGGTGCCTCGGGGGGGCCTCTTTGGGCCGTTTGGGATCCTCTTGGGGGCCTCCTGGGGGCCTCTTGGGGCCATCTTGGGGCCTCTTGGTGCCTCCTGGGCGCTTCTTGGGGCCATCTTGGAGGAAATCGATCAAAGAAGAGGGGAGCTTCAATTAGCGCTGCCCCCTCAGAAGGCCAAAATGGGGCCAAAACCTTAGTAAAATCAATGATTTGGGCTTCCTCGGCGAGGCCGTTTTGGACGCTCTGACCGCTCCCCGCCCCCCCTGTCCAGGTCAGTGGGGAGGGGGTAGGGGGAGGGGTAGACCCCTCCCCGAAGGGGAAGAAGGAGGGGTGGAAGAGGAAACTCGTTAAACCACCGACGCCCTAAAGGGCTGGTGGGATTCAAACACTGGACAGCGCGCTTCAGGCGAGAACGAAAGATGACGCGTGTGGTGGTCCGAGCCTTCTACTCTCTACCCACTGCTGCCGACCCGCTCCCTACCAAGATTGTGTGTTATCTCAAATGTGGTTTCTATCTCTTTCTCTCTCTCTCTCTCTCTCTCTCTCTCTCGCTCTCCCTCTTTCTTTTGATCGATGTGAGTGCACAGTAGATATCTAAATATCGATATCCCTGTCTCTCCTTCTCTCTCTCTCTCTCTCGCTCTCGCTCTCACTGCTCTCTAGTCTGTACCCGCCCCTTTTCTACACGTAGTGGCTTCCCCATACGTTCCATTCACTACCTCTGTCCTGTGGTGTCTTCTCTGGCCCTGCCCTCGTTGCTAGATGTTGTATGTTCTCTGATCTCTGCACTCCGCTATCCGTTATCTGAACGGTCATCCGTACACTATATGGTATTAGCTCTCGATCGCCTTATATACATATATACATGCAGACATGCGCGCAGATGTAGATGCATACGACGCCGTATGTGCTACACATACGTTTTTAGTGTGTATGTGCACACCCTTACGGCTGCAGATGAGTATCCACAGGCGCGCGTCAGATTCTCTGTGTAGCCCCTACGTTCTACATATACACACATGTATATACATGCATTTATATACACACAAGACTGCATTGGCGTTTCGTGCCATGCACCTTGGTCCT